AGAGAGAGAGAGAGAGAGAGAGAGAGAGAGAGAGAGAGAGAGAGAGAGAGAGAGAGAGAGAGAGAGAGAGACGGATGGATGGACTGACGGACGGAAGGACAGATGGATGGTCCGATCGACGGACCAACCAACGGACCGAAGGACTGATGGACCAACAGACTGACGGACCGACAGAGCGACAGTGTGACAGACAGGCAGACAGAGACAGAGAGAGAGGGAGTCACAAGGATAAGAAAGTGATACAACACAGGTACATAGTGACCATTCTCAACTGTCAAACCAGCAGAGAAGAAGTATGGAGTCGCCATCACCCCCACACTCAGTCCTGATTCAGTCATCCACCGTAACACGGAATACATCACAAAAAAAAACAAGCAAGAAACACCCAAACATATTCCCACCAATTAGCAGGCATCTGTAATTGACAAATTGTCCAGAAAAAATAGATTATATCATTATTCCCAGAGTTGCAGACAACTGGCCATCAACGCCTCCCAGGTAGGATCCTATTGGTAGGCACCTACTGCTCGGGCTGCCTGCCAACCAGCAAGTTCAGCTCATAAGAAGATGATTTTCAGAGTTTTGAAAGTGAGGCCCCATCGCAGAGTCCACGGCCTTTTTATCATTTTTTTGATTTGGAGGAAGGGAGGGAGGGAGGGAAAGATGGAGAAGGGGGGGTGGGGGGGGGCTGATAATGATTTCAGATGATGATAATGATTTCAGATGATGATGATGATGATGATGATGATGATGATGATGATGATGATGATGATGCAAATCTGTTCTGGTCCCATGCTGATAGGCCAATTGCGGTGCCAGTTTTGTCCCATCTGACTGCATGGAGGACATGTAGCCACCTACAGGTCCTACCGTAGGGGCTTGTCAGCTCCTACTAGTCAGAGGCACACTGTCAGCAGCTGTGCAACACTGAAATTTACAACACTACTTCTCATAAGAGGTAGAAAACCTCTGTCTGTGCATCAACTTGTACACGATAGGAAAAACATGGACATGTCAATCAATGTGCCGTGTTGACCTGAGTGGAAGACAATAACCTAGACATGCCAACTAAGTGTGCCATGTTCACCTCCTCCCACAGTAGCACATAACTGACTAGTAATCCATTTGATGATATACCTCTTTGGTTAAATTGAAACGTGTCCAGCCGAGGATCCTCTGCTCTCATCTCTTCCTCATCCACATAGTCAAACTCTGTGGGTCCCAGTATGACACGCTGGAAAGCTTCTCTTGATAGCAACACTTCTGGGGACGATCCATCCTGGTGGAGAAAGCCGACACCCAAGACACCCACATCACGATTGGCATCACCTCAACCACATCTGCATCTGCATTAGTAGAGGCCAAACAGTCATATCACGACTAGCACGATTGTGTGCGACTCTGGTGATCTTTGGCCTGAGCAATGGAAGTCGAACGACAACAATGACTCAGAGGCAGGCTTAGAAGAAACATGACTGTCACAGCAAAGAGGAATATAAAGAAGGCTCATGAAAAATGGTCGTGGAGAAAAAGAGGAGGAAGAAGAAGAATTCATCCTCCATATCAGCGCAAAAAGGAAGAGGAGGAGAAGAAGCAGAGGAGGAAGAAGAAGAAGAAGAAGAAGAAGAAGAAGAGGAAGAAGAATTCATCGATAGCAGATTCAACATAAAGATAAGGAGGGTTCGCGAAAGGAGTACGACACTTTGGAGGAGGAAGAGGAGGAGGAGGAGGAGGCGAAGGCGTATTTTGGCCCACAGGAGGATCTGCCTGAGAGGCGAGTTTCAGGGAGGCCGCAGGTGCTCCACCATTGAAAACAGTCATACTCCATTTTTTCTGCAGGCTGCTCATCACATCGAAGTTCCTAATTGGTCATTAAATCCAACGGCTTATCTGCAGGGCAGGTAAACTCTGGTCAGGAGAGTCAGGAGAGGCTGCAGCAACTGATTTTTCCGACACGATATGAAGGTAGAGCAAGCAGGAAGTAGACACACGTTCCATTGGATGAATATGATATTGTGTGCACAGCCGAATTAACCACCATGATGATAGACATAGAAATAACAGCTGAAACTTGAGGTAGGTGCCTGAAACACTGCTTGAAGAAATACCACTCTACTTGAAAAGGAGGCTTCACTGTGGCAGACACATTCCATTGGATGCTGGGATACGGCCTGGGCCAGCTGAGCAAGAGAGCGAGGGAGGGAGGGGGAGAGAGAGAGAGAGAGAGAGAGAGAGAGAGAGAGAGAGNAGAGAGAGAGAGAGAGAGAGAGAGAGAGAGAGAGAGAGAGAGAGAGAGAGAGAGAGAGAGAGAGAGATTGCTGCAAAATCCTGCTCCAGAACACAAACAATACGACAATCATGCCTGACCGAAGCCACATTGCTTGGCTGCAGAGGAAATAAAAAACTAACCACAAAATAATGTAGATAAAAAGTAGCACTGCCAGATGGAACTTGAGGCAGGTGCGCAGAACACTGATTGAAGAAAAACCAATCTCCTCTATTTGGAAAAAAAGAAGGCTTCACTAGAGTAGAGTCAGTAGACATGTCCCATTGCATGCTGGGATACTTACTCCTTTGGCCCTTTGGGCATTTCACTTTGACGTTCCTGGCTGCAATTTTGGCGCTTTTTTAACCGAAAACGTCAGGTCCTATTGGCAGGAACCCAGTAAGCCCTGACGATTTCGGTTCAAAAAACACAAAATTGCCGCCAGGAGTGTCAAGGTAAATGCCCAAAGGGGTACAGTAACTACGAGTACAGCCAAACTAATATAGACAGCAGCTGGACGCTGAGCCACGCTCCTGAAACACCCATTGAAGAAAAGCCCTCCACTTAAAAAGACACGTTTTCACAGTACTGCCAACAGCATAAGTATGGCCTACTGCTCCTCCTATGTGTCCCCCCTATCCAGAAGCGGGTCCCCAAGCACCAGGATCCTCCTATGTGTTCCTCCACCCCCGACATACAGAACCAGGTCCCAGAGCCCAATGCTCCTCATATGTGCCCCTTTCCCCCTCCCCAATCCAGAACCCGGTCCCAGAGCCCCAGGCTTCTCCTGTGTGCCCCTCCCCCGTGCCCATACAGAACCAGGTTCCAGAGCCCCCAGCTCCTCCTACGTGCCCCTTCCGCCCAGGTACAGAACCAGGTCCCAGACCCTCAGGCTCCTCCCATGTGCCCCTCCCCTCCTGACCAATCCAGAACCAGGTGCCAGAGTCCCAGGCCCCTCCTATGTGCCCCTCCCCTCCGCCCATACCCCCCAAATCTAGAACCAGGTCCCAGAGCCCTTGACCCCCCACCCACTACCCCCCAATTAAATCAGGTCCAAGAGCCCCAGGCTCCTCCTATGTGTCCTCCCCCTATCCAGAACTAGCCAATGTGAGGGAGCGTGTATGTGGGAAGTATAGCAACCGTAACTTAAAGGCTTAGCATCGAGGTGCACTCAGCATTGAGGAGAGGACAGAGGGGGGGGGGAGGGGGGAGAGGCGGAAAGGGAGGCAGGGGGAGAAGAGAGGGGAATAAGACAGAGGAGGCGACAGATTATGCCTGCGTGAGCATCGGTAACTTAAAGGAATTATTATGCAGACTGTCCAATAGAGAAGACGAAGGGGAGGAGGGGCCGGGCGGAAGAAGCAGCAATGGGGAGTCACTGTGATTGGACGATTCGGAGGGGGTTACAGATGATAGGGGGGAGAATAGGGTTGAGGCGACGGCAACAAGTTAACTTAGGCCTGAGAGAGCATCTGTAGGGGGGTATTACGTATGCAGATGCAGGTCATCCAAGGGTGCAACCTCGTTGATCGGCCAAATTGAATAGAGAAGATGAACAGGAGGGGTCGGAGGAAGGAGTAAGGAGATTCTGAAGCAATGGCGAGTGATTCGATGAGGTAGATCATAGGGGGAAGGAATGGGATGACGGCGAGAACGACAAATTAAAATTAGCCCTGGTAGAGCATCTGTAGCCGATAATTATGTACTAGACCGTCCAAGGTGAGTGCAGCGGCCTCGTTGATCAGCCCGATTACAGATCGCCTTCTGAACAATCTGGAACAGCCGCTCGTTTTCTGCGAGGGGGGCAATAATCCTCTACTCTTCTCCAGCATGGGGTCGCCGCTCCACCACGGCTTCTCCCGCATAGAACGCACGTCGGTCATTACAGCTGTATTTGGGGCAACTTTCAGTCTAGATGCATCTATCATGACCGTGCAATCTATTCATCTATTCGCGGGCAAGAGGGTACGTAGCAACGGTTCAATTACCGTCTTCCCCCGAACACAACGCACCATCATTTTGACTGCATCGGGACGGAAAGATAGTCTGTATACATTCATTATCAGGGTGCGTTATGTACGGAGGAAGACGGTAGTCAACGGAGTGCTGGCAACGAACCCGGTCAAGTGTCTGTCGGAATGCAGGATCTTATTTTTATTTTATTTTTTTCAAAAAAATTATCGTCAATGGAATGCTGGCAACGAACCTGAGAGGGATCATCACGTCGGATGCATCTATGTGACAAAAATGTTAAATCCAAAAAAAAAAAAAAAAAAAGTGAGGACAAGCTCCAGATCATGCAGGCAAGCTCCACATGGCATTACGTGGGCAGCAGCTCCAACGGGGCAGCATCACGAGGGTTTGTAAAGGGTGACGCCTTGAGATATCATTAGTGCTAGGCCCGTTGGAAGGTGAATTTTTATTTATTTTCTTACCGCGGTTGAAACCAAGAGGTGCCATCTGGTTTACCAAGCTATTTTTTATTTTTTTTAACCCCGGGTCAAAATCCGCCGGCTTATCGGAAAAAGGAGTGCTAGGTTTGGTAATCGTCGTTGTTGTTGTTCCTCTTTTTCCTAAAGTGGAAAATCATAAGTCGGAGGGTTGACCTCACTGCTGAAGGTTGCAAATTGGGGGAGATAAACCTGCTGTAACATGACATTTATAATTTATATACATATACATAGTAATAATAAACGCTAATGATGATGGTGATAATCATCATCATCATCATCATCATGGCAATGATAAGTACTACCCTGATCATTATGATCATGATAATATGCGAACGACTACGGTGAGTAGTAGTATCATGATGATGGTGCGGTGATCATCATGATGACAATTGGTGACAATATGATGATGTTATACTACTAGTAGTCATAGGTCACATACTATATTATACATCGTACATAGGTCACAATATGATGACATAGGTCGCACATAATCTACTAGCATATAATCTTGAGCAAAATAATATACTATAGTACCGGCAACAGGAAATACTAAAAGTAATATCATATCCACTCCAGCTGGGGGATGCATCTGATAAAATTTCTGCAGAGATGTGGAGTTGCCCGGGGCCATAGCGTGTCGTGAAAGGAGTTCACTGCATGTAGACTCAGTCCTTGGAAGATCTTCCAGCTGAATATTTTTTTTCACTCAGTCCTCGAGCTGCACAGGGAGGTGGTTAACCGGGAGCGTTATTTTCGGCAAACAAAATTTCAACCGAAACTGTCATTATATCGTGCTGATTTTTTGCTTTAAATTTTTCCTTAAAGTTGTTTTTCTTGTTCTGTGATATGTATGTGTGCCTTTAGGGTACGTCATGTGTACAGTTAGTGGTGCCTGCTCTTATCAGTCCAACTAACACTGGTGGGGGAGAGTTAAAAAAAAAAAAAAAAAAAAAATTGAGAACTTTTGACATATTTGGATCAATAATGAAAAAGTTGGCATTTCGTTGAATTTGTTGGACGCTTCGTTTAGTAACTCGGAAAGTGTTTTTGTGTTAGGGTTTGACGTTGTTGTTGTTGTTGTTTTCAATTTTTTTGTTCGTTTTCTTTGCCCTGAGGCTGTTTGTTTTCTTTATGCTTGCACTAGTATGAGCCCATTTTTTTTTTTTTTTTTTTTTTTTTTTTTTTTTTTTTTTTATTTGTCGGCGAAAAAGGGTTTTTTTTTTTTTTTTTTTTTTTTTTTTTTTTGTTCGTTTTCTTTGCCGTGTTTTTCTTTTGTTTATGTTTGCACTATCGTTTGTTTTTGCATTTTTCGCTGAACTTTGCACCAAAATTGACGGCGAAAACGGTGAATTTTTGCCCCTCAGTTACCCATCTATCGAGCTGCAGTGAAAGCAGATCTGATTCACTGGATGTAGAGTCAGTCCTTGGAAGATCTTCGACCAGTCAGTCCTCGACCTGCAGTTGAGCGGACAGTTCGTGAACGGGAGAGCTGTAGATGGCTTACATACGGCTATTAAATACGGCTATTAAATACCGGCTATTAAATACGGCTATTAAATA